GCAACAGTGTTAATAAGAATATAGTTTTGTTTAATATATTTAAATATCTAATATTTATTATTTTATATTTATATTATATATTTATATCTATGAAAAATTTAAGTATATAATATTATTTTATGCCTTAGCATTTATCATGTTGAGAAGTTCGTCTATTTCAGCACTTTCAATAACGGAATTATACTCTTTATTTTCTATAGTAACACTACGACTACAGTCACTCTCTTTGTCTTCACAATTTCCTTCATCAATTTCCTCTATTATTTGAAACTCCTTATCACCATCTTCTTCAAATTCTTCAAGAAGTTTTTCATAGTAATCTTGTGGTGGAATCACTTCTTTTTTAGTTTCTTCTTTCAACTACCAACAAAAATGTATTTAAAATTTATAAATAATTTATAAACTCTAAATAAAAATGAAAATACTAACAAACTTTGATTAATCTCAGTATCTCACCTTCAAATTGTGTTTAACATAAACTAACTTTCCTGCTCTGCTGTTGGTTAGTCTATTTCTTTTTGATGAATGCACATCTTTATATGTACTAAATGTTCTTTCGCAAGCAGCTGATGTAGCGGGCAGTGACAAAATCTTAGAGGCCAACTTTGACAGTTCAGTAGATGAACAGTAAACGTTGCACCACACTGCTGGTTCTAAACTGTTGACACATGCCTCCCATACATAGGTATTTGAAAAATACCTTCTTTATGCTACAATACAAAATATATACATTTTAAACAAAATTAACAATGTATTTACTACGATTTATATTTTACTAATTTATTGTTTTATCTTGTTGGATAAATAAACATAATTAATAAAGATTCATTGAAAAAAACTTTCATATTTTTAATTTACCTTATAGTGAGCGAAATCGTACATGACTTTCTGTTCATCAGCATTAAACATATTTTAGATAGTCAATGAATGAATGTAGCAGCTTCAACATTTTCATCTGCAGCCAAATTATTTCCACGATACTTTGTGTCTAGTACATTTGCAACTAAATGAATTTTTTGAACACTAAATTCTTTTCTTGATTGAATTTTGTTTTTAATTATATTTTTTTCAGTCTCAAAACAAGAAACATTTTTTATGCAAATATCATATTGTTTTTTAATTTCAACAAATATTTCTGGAACAATGCTGAGTTGTGGTAAACCACTTTCTATTGTAGTAATCCAGTATGCTATGGGCTTTAAAAAATTGTGTAAATTTTTTACTCGGTCCCAAAATAAATCATTATTGATAAATTGTTTCACTCTTGGTATAATGTCTTCTTCACACCGCTCATCTATGTTTAAGAGTAGTATTATTTGTTTATTAGCTAAAAGGCTGTTAAGGAAAACTACTACTGAACCCCATCTGGTTTGAACAGGCAACATAAGCGATTTTTTATTAATACCGGAATCTTTTTGTTTTTCATTAAATGTTGAGTGTAACACGTGTCGTCTTCTAATGTTATTCACAATTGCAACTCCACCTTTTATTATTATTTGAAATGACTTTAAACATATAATATCATTGATTAATAAACTCAGTGCATGAGCAACACAGCCATATGTTGTAATGTGTTCATACTTATTATTTATTTCTCGCCAAGCTTTTTTCATATTAGCAGCGTTGTCAGTTAATATTCCAAATACTTTTCCTGGTCCAACTTCTTCAATAATTGCTATCATTACTTTTGCCATATAATCACCCGTATGCCTTTCAGTTAAAGTGGGTAGAGATTTATATAACATAGATTTGGGTGTTGTTATTACAAAATTAATAATGCTTTCATTCCTAATATTCGACCATCCATCACACATCAACCCAAGACAGTGTGATCCAACGATAAGCTTCTCAACAACATATTTTATATTATTAACTTCATTGTCCAAAAGTTTATTTGACAATTGATAAGAAGAAGGTAATACATAGGCTGGCCTTAATGTTTCAAACAGTTTCTTCCAATAAATATTATCAAGAAGTGACAAAGGTGATCCACTTGCATAGATAGCTTTTGCTAACATTGAGTCCAGTTTTAATTTTTCATCCTTTGTTACTTTATCTACAAAATGTTTTATAGTGGACGTATTACTCAAAGTAGATGATGTAAAAGAACTTGCAGACAAACACTTTGTATCAGATGGAGTATTATCCCTTATTTATTCAAATTCTTTTTTAGGGGTGGACGTGGTAGTAATATTAGTGATCCAAGAGTCCAACGTATTGCAGTTATTTGAACTTGAAGTTGGTTCAGGTTCATCACATATATTATTTTTAATGGCACAATCCATATTTTCTACATCATTCTCTGATTGGAAAGACCCTATTAATTAAAAATTATATATTAATATACTATATGATACTTAAGGATACTGTCCTAAATAAGAGATTAAAGCCTAAACCTTATTCAGTTACTTTATAGTTACCGCCATAGTTATCACTTATCACATTTTCTACGTACAGTACTAGATGAATATTACATTTTTATTTTATTATGTAATTTTAAAGATATAATGTAATATGTGCAGCTGAAGCTTCATTAGAATATTTTTAACTACTTAAAACATCATAAAAAAATAATAATGTAGTGTTAAGTAACCCACTAAGTGCCCAGTAATGTTAAAACAAATATTTTAACAACTTCTGAGCTTAATTATTAACTACCTATGAGTAATTTTTGTTGAAAGCTAAACAGTTTTACAATTGTTGTATTGATTATTTAAGCAATCAGCGGTCTACTAATATAATTATATAAATGTAAATAGGTACAATCTAACAAATAAATGTGTTGATTGTTATTGGATTAAATATTTATTAATTTAATATTCGTCAAGTTATGTTTGTAGTTATGAAATTCACATGACACTAGTGTTGTAGAAGTTTACCTACCTACCTAGTAATATTAAAACTGATTAAAACCTTGTATATTTAACCGATAAATAACTATAACTTGCACACTGAAAAAAAAACTACCTATAATTATGACAATTTTGTCTTATTAATCTGATATATGTCATCATGACAATGTTTGTTTGTTTAAACAATATATTTGGTAATTTAACAAGTCACAAAGACGTAAAGATTGATAATATATTATTAAAATACCACTGTAAAAATTGTCAAAATAAATAATAATACCATACCCTCCTAATAATTTAAAGCTATAAATAACCGGGTTTTTACCAAAATATTATAATGAATATCATATTGAAAAGAATATTATCAAGATATCGTTATAATATTATCAAATTTAATACGTTATCTTTTTATATGCAATCGTTGCAAGTTGCAACTAAATAACGAGTTACACATTTTTTTTTTCACTGGTTGAAAGCACACGTTGAAATAATTGTTACCGGTGTACTTGAAGTTTATGCAGCGGTATTTCACACTGTGTCATTATATCAGAATATAGTACTTGATTAGCTGTGTATTAATATAGTATACCTATATAATATAATTAATAACTGTTAAGTATATTATAGTGAGTAATAACAATTAGAAAAAGTGTTTGAAGATTTTCGCCCTGTTACAAAAAACAAAGTTACACACGTTTTTTGGAATAATTTGAAGTATACAGTTATTATTTTGTAAGTTGGTATTACATTTTTATTTATTAGTTACCTTTTTTATTAAATAGAATGTTTTTTTAATTAAACTGGTACACATATTCACTTATTATTGGTGGAGATTGTTACAAACTGATCCCGCACTCTATGGTAGGTATAATTTATATTTTATATATTTATATATCTATAAACTTAATGTAAATTATTAAATACCTATTCATTACATTTTTAATGTTAGATATTATAATATTTGCTAAATATTTCCCAGGTTGTTAGAACGAGTGTTGTTCAGACTCTGCTGTTTATATTCATTTAATGAATTTGAAGTATCATACAGTTGTTATTTTGTAAGTTGAAATTACATTTCTATTTACTAGTTACCTTTTTTATTTAAAGAATGAATTTTTAATTAAATTTATATACATATTTACTTATTATTGGTGAAGATTGTTACAAATTGATCCCACACTCTGCGTTGCTTATAGTTTATGTATTTGTTCGTACATCAATAGACGTGATTTAAATAAATAAATATTCATTACATTTTTAATGTTAGATATTATAATAGTTGCTAATTATTTTCCAGGTTGTTAGAAGGAGTGTTCTCTAGACTCGAATGTTTACATTAATTTGAAGAATTTGAAGTATCATACAGTTATTGTTTTGTAAGTTAAAATTACATTTCTATTTACTAGTTATCTTTTTTGATTTAAAATTTGTATACATATTTACTTGTTATTGGTAAAGATCGTTACAAACTTATCCTGCTCTCTGTGTTGCTTATAGTATATGTATTTGTATGTACATCAATACTCTTGATGCGAATATATAAATATTCGATACATTTTTAATGTTCGATATTATAATAGTTGCTAAATATTTCCCAGGTTGTTAGAACTAGTGTTGTCTGGACCCTGCTGTTTACATTCATTTGGATAATTTGAAGTATACAGATTTAATTTGTAATCTTATATTCGATTGTTAACTTTAAGCTACTACTTGGTTTTAAAATGATTTGTTTTATATGTGAAGTGAACTCTGGAAATTGGAAAGCATTAGTATGTCATTTTAAAATATTTCATTCGTTAAAAAGTCATAGTACTTATAGATGTGGCGAAGGTAACTGTAAACAATCTTTTCAGTCCTTAGCTACATTTAAAAGACATATTCATGCTAAGCACTTCCCAGAACTACAATTAATTTTTCAAATTCCTGAACAACCTTGTACCAATTCTTCACTGCCATCTCTTAATGCTAAAACTAGTCATAGAAATAATCTTTTAACTGAAAATGAAAATGCTGAAATTCCATTTAATTTTGAATTAGTAAGTGAATTGTTATACAAGTCAGCAGTAGAACTGGTTGTTAATTTACATAGTGTTATGTGCGTAATCTCAAAGGCTCCAAAAGCCGTAAGCTTTAGAGACAAATCAACAAGTACCAAATTGAACTATAGAATTATTTTTATTCAGCAGAAAATATAGTAATAGTACAATAGCGTGTGCGCGTGTGACGAGAAGTTGCTCAGGTCTCCGTGGCTATGATACATCTGCCCAGGCTGTCCCACGGGCTCCCTTATAAGTG